TCCACCATTATGCTTTTTAATAAAAAATAACCACTTAATCTAGCAGGTGGAGTTGAATTAGAACTGGAACTGCTAATTGGGAATCACCACATTCTGTTTACGGCAATAAATTAAAAGGAATCTTGGACCAGTGCACGTTGTTTGTTTTTTTGTAGTGGTGCTTTACTCAGTGTATGGTTCTTCTACCGTAGGATTTAAGTTGCATTTAGGCGTGTTAATTATTTTAATCTCAGTTGTACAAAATCAGTAGTATCCTGCCTTTCTGGATTAGGAAACTGAGGCACAAATGCTGATTTTCTTATAAAAGATTTACTGAATCATTGGTAGAGAAAGGACTCTGTCTGTCTGGTTCCTGGGTGTACACTTCAGCCAGGAGCTTTTTCCAGCACTAGTAAGATTAAAAAAAAAAATAAAATATCAGTTTCACCTACGTGTACAAAAGGATACTTCAACATGATGCATCTCTGTCTTTTTTTTTTTTATTTTATTTTATTTTAAGTACAGAAAAGTAGATACTAACCTGGTAGATAAGTGGATAGAATCAGATCTTAGTTAAATGCAAGATCCTCTGTCAATCACGGTATTACGGTGCGCTGCAAACCAGGAGGGTGGGGACAGGAAGAGAGACTCGTTCTTCTTTCTCTTGTCTATTTATCTGCTGATTGAAGATGTCGCACTAGGCACACGGAATGGAGATGGTCTTTCTGTCCTGAATTTATTGGAAGTAAGATTGGGTATAGTAAACCTGTTGTGTGCCATGACCATCCCTGTGATCCGTTCGTTATCCAGGAGCATCCCTATTAATGACTGAGGATGTTGACAGGATACAGAAATAATACGCTCTGGCATTAGTTGTTATATGAAGAATTTACACCCCGCCTTGTGACGGGATTGGAATATATAATAATTCCCAAACGCACCAGGCTGTACATAGATGCTTGGTGTTTGTAATGAGAGGATTGATTGTTGCAGCCTATCTTCAATTAACCTATTTCCATGGGAGTGCTGGGCGCTCTGCAGCCTTTCCTTCTACCCAGGTCGACAGGTTACCAGGCACCTTCAGCTGCCGTGAATGTAAATGTCAGCATCGGAGGAGCTGTGAAGGTGATGGTTACAACAGTGTAGTTTTATAAAAGTTTTCAGGTCATTATGAATTATAGAAGAGTGCACACTGCATATCCTGGTTTTCGTGGCATGATTGGAAAGTGACTTTTCATATCTGCAGTTCTGCCTTAAGGGAACATGAAGAGACAAAATGAACACAGAGACACAAGTATGGTGAACATCAGGAATCTGGTCCTCCTAAAGTTTATGGCTGTTGAGATTCGGTGGATTTTGGTTTTAATTCCAACTCTTAACAGAGATGGCGGCAACTCTGAGATTTGGTGATTGGTCCAGACCAGAGTGTGAATTTTTGGGGGTTTTGAGGGTCTTTGTATAAGAAATTATACCATGTTTGGGGTGTCATACTGTCAAGTTTCAGCTTTGGCTTTTTATTTTTGTCATGGCAAACCCAGGCTCAGTGTGCAGTCTTACAGTGTGCGTGCATTTTGCAAGGAATGCTGACAACTTGCTTGCTTAGGAAACTCAGAGAATGCTGTAATGACGAGTCACAGAAAAAGTGCGCTCCCTGCCTGGTGTGCTTGGTGGTTCTGAGATGAGAAAAATTTTGTGGTGCTTGCAGGAGTTTTGTGCATGTCCTAGCTGATGATGTTTTCATGTTCAGATTGAGTGTAACCCGATTTTGTGGAAGTTCGGCAGGAATCCATGCAACTGTACACTAAGCACTTCCTTTCCTCTGGTTTCCCTTAGATCTCACAGAATATTTAGCAGAGCAGTGGCTGAACACCTTATGTCAGAGTGGAGAAACCTGTACAAGTGTATGTAATTTTCTTTTTTTTTCTGTTGACAGCTGGTCCTGGCTGAAAGCTCCCACTCTGACACAGGCTCCCAGTGCACCGAGAGCCACACTGACCTTCCGCCACCCATTGAGAGAACAGGCGGCATTGGAGACTCCCGGCCTCCATCATTCCAGTAAGAGCAAGTTGTCTTTTTTTTTTTTTTATTTTAAACCAAAAAATGCAATTCCTGTCTCTTTCTTCCCCACATTTCTCCCTATTGCTGCAAACCAGCTAGGTATTGTTAGAAAAATAGTATTAGAACTGAGGAATTCAAAGGGGGATGGGAAGAAAAAAACCCTGTCATTGTTAGAATGAAATATATATTCTATATATCTCATTTTGAAACCCACTGTGGAAGAGTTAAGTAGAGAAGGAGCGCAAAATGCTTTTTGTAGCGTATGGATGGCAACCTTTTATTACTGTGTTATGTGTATTTACCTAGTATGCAGAGCCAGCAGAATACCGATAGCAAGAGCAAAAATGTACGTAAGGAATAATGCCTCCTCCATGCGCCTACAGAGGCGAGCAGCTTGAACGGTGTATAGCCAGACGGGGAGTGATCTGATTTAATGGTAGCCCTGTTATTTCCTGTTCTGCCTGCAGAGCCAATGTATATCCTCAGAACGCCTTCGTTTTCAGGGAGGCCCTCTGAATTGACACAAGGAGGATTTAAAGCAGGACCTGGTTCTAGCTGTGATCATAGTCTATGTTTGGAGAAGGAAATGTGGTCTTGATTTGCCTGGCGTCATGTGTTTCCATTGCTTTCTGTGATATCTGTTGCCTGGAAGAGCCCTTAGTGTTGTGTATGAGTCTTTTACAGATAAATGCCTTCTAGAGGGTACAAGAAATGTTGGGCAATACTAACCCTGCCTGACACTGTGTGTCTTGCAAGGGCTTTACTGCCCTCGTGTGTTCATGAATTGCTTGATGTTGACTGGGAGAGGCCTGTATGGGTGCAGTCACATGGCCTGCAAATATAACTAGTTCTTTGTCTTCCTGACCTATACCTACACGTAATAGCTGCAAGATCAAACTTTATGTAAAAAATAATTACATTGTAGGTTAGGCACAAGTCTGTGTTTGTGGAACTACTGACTGCTAATGACTGTATGTATTCAGAACAATGAATTTAAGCTGTGCTCTGCTGATGCACCTGCTGTCTTCCACAGCGTTCTGAAAATCTTGTCTGCGTCTTCTTGCCGTCCGCCAGCACAGTGCTGCAAGTGATGGTATCTTCATATGAAAAAGCAAATGTGGGAATCCTCAAAGGGGTGAAGTAACTTACGCAGGGCCTGCTGAGTCAGGAGTAGCAACACGGGAGGCCATGATTTCTGGCTTGTGTTCTCATTCCTAGATAAACCACCTTCCTTCTCTCTCCCCCATCCCTTTTTTCTTTCTTGTTTTAAACATCAGTAGAGAATCTGGCTTGTGGGGAGGTCTTCTGGACTAAAACTTATTCTCCCTTAATGCCTTTTTTGGTTCTTCTCTTCACAATTGAATGTCTTAATGTTTTATAGTGGTTTTTGCTGTTGTGTTTTATTTTTTCAATCCAGAAGACAGCCTAATGAAGACCTAAGTTTATTTCTATAACACAGGGCAGAGCATCTCACTCAATTATTCTGCATGAAGCCCTTAATTCTGTTTCGCTATTAGAATTTCATTTTAAAACACACCCACTCTAGGTTTAAAGATTCCGAGTGATAAAAGAGTCCACCATATTTTGAAATTATTTGTTTCTCTTGGATAAACTAAATAAGTTGAGCTGCTCAAGTCTTTCATTGTAAAGCGTGGTTTCCAGAAATTGAATCATGACTGTCGTTCTCTTCAGGTCACTTACAATTCTCCAGCAATTTTTTAAAGTTATGTTTTGTGGGATTTTGGTGTGGTGATTCTGCAATAGTGTGTGCCGTTTCTGCATGCTGTCTCCTTGGATAGTATTGCCATTTAAGAGATCAGCAGTGCAACCCTGTAACTTTCACAACTGTCGCTTCAGTATTGCTGTATACTCACATATTACCTCCCCTTCTGCAAGTGTGACTTACCTTCTTGGTTCCTAAATCCCTGAGGCTTTTTTTAATGCTATTCAAACTACCAGAGATCTGTCATCTCCTGTCTTCCAATCAACACTGAAGAAGGGGCCTTACTATATATAAGAAGCCCCAGCTGAGCTGGGTGTTGTAATTGTACAAACAGAAATGCTGCTGGACGACAAAGAATACAAGAAATAGATGAAGCAGACAGGTCAGCAGGCAATACCATCCAAGGGAAGGAGATCCTTATCAGAGGTGAAGTGGTAATCTCAACTAGCTGCCTGACAGCATTGATGTTTTGCTTCATCATTGATTGAATCCAAAGAAAATTTACTTTTTCCCTCCCTGATGAGGGTTCTGAAGTTCATCCTGTATTTCATGCTCCACTGCTTCTGTTCAGTGGTTGCCAAATCCGCTTTCACCTGAATGGGTGAGGCTGCTCCTGGTTTAGCGGGGGAGATGCATGACTGAGGTGAGACCAGGGATCTGTGGGCTCTCTTTCTTACACAGCTCTTGGGTATGTGCACTGCAAATGGAACTGGATGGAATTGGCTCAGCAATGAGAGAGGAAACAAGCCAGCTGTGAGGTTCCTTTTGCACCCTTTGTTAGGGTGTAAATCACCTTTTGTAGGCGGGTTTAGCCTAGGAAGCGGTTTAGTGGTGGGAAGCGTTAGTAGTAGTCACTAGATGGTGCTGCCGAGATGGCTGGGAGCCTCGCAGGGTGACCCCAGGAAACCGGCACCCTCTTCCCTCCTCAGCTGTACTGGACCGGCACAAGAAATGCAGACGTACTTGTGACAACACTTAAATACATACTTGCGTTTTGGTAGCTTCATTAGGGCTTAAAATGTGCAGTTCAATGCCTTCTTCCTGATTCGGGTGGTGGGCACATCAGTACATTCCATTAGTGTCCAGAGAGCGTGTGGGAGTGCAGAAGGCTTTTCAGCAGCCCTCTTGAATGTAACACCACACAGATGTGCTTACGCATACACAGCTCTGGCTCCAGCTTCCACAGAAGCCCATGGGCCCTGTTGGTTAGATCATTGGTGGTTTAATTCCCTGTGTAAAAGGTGCATGGCAGTGCATTCCGGCCTCATGGAATTCTAAGAGAAATACATGAATGACTCTGATGCTTTGGTGTAAGTATGGTGCTGGCCATTATGTGCTCTGTGTGCGTAAGTAGGACGTCAGGCACAAATACCAAGTGCAAAGGGCAGATGTGAACTGCGACTCCTTTTTAAATGGGTGGTATCTGTGAGACAGAGAGGAAGAGTTCGACCCGTAACTTTCTACAAGAAATCTTTCACAGCAGAGCATTAGCCCATGTCAGATCATGCAGTATTATATTTTCAGGAGCTTCAGATCAGTTTCTGTGATGTAGTACATTAAAATGAGCTATGGCCTTTGCCAGCACTCCAAGAGGCTTTTCTCATTTCCTTCCATGTGAGCGCTTCAAGGTGGCTTATTAAATGTAAGAATAGCAGAGATGCATAAAACAGGTTGAGTCTAAGGAGAAGACTAAGGAGCTAAGCTAGTTCTGTTCAGACCCTTTGCTCCAGCCAACTCTGCTTTAACATGACTGATTTTTTTTCCTCAGCAGAGATCTTGAAACAGGTGGTTGCAAATAAGTCGTCTTTCATATTTAGTGTTGTGCATTACAGGCACTGCTCTTGGTTAGCCAACTTGACTTGTCTGTTGGAATTAGAAGTGGAAGCCAGTCTGGTTTATATGAACTGAGAAATGGCCCTTCCTTAATGCTTGGAAGTTCAAGAGTGTGGAGCTGTCATTGCTGGCTACATCCCAGAATGTGGCCCTAAACCATGGGGACAAATTCTCTGCTGCCTCTTTCAAACCTTTTGTTCTGGCTAATTGTATTAGCGAGAAAGTGTATCTCAGCAGAGCCCTCACAGAGTGGAAGAAATCTATAGGACAAGAGAAAATGGCCTCAAGTTGCGCCAGAGGAGATTTAGGTTGGATATTAGGAAAAATCTCTTCACTGAAAGAGCTGTCAGGCCCTGGCCCAGGCTGCCCAGGGCAGGGGTTGAGTCCCCATCCCTGGGGGGATTTAAAAGACAGGGAGACGTGGTGCTTAGGGACATGGTTTAGTGGTGGACTTGGCAGTGCTGGGTTAATGGTTGGACTTGATGACCTTAAAGGTATTTTCCAACCTAAACGATTTATGATTCTGTGATTTGATGAAATCTGGCCACTGAGATCCTCATCAAGATCTTGATGCTTTTTGCCCAAAGCTCACTTGCTCATAATGGTCCTTCACTGGGACTTCCTAGATTAATATTGTGCTGGCATATCTGTGTAGCTTTCAAACAGCTGAGAACATGAGGAAAGGGCCTGGGGTCTATTTGTACCTTTCACAGACATCCACTTAATTATTTTGAGCTTTGCCGTGACTTGCAAGCCTCTATTAAAAGTGGCCACAGTGAGCTATAGCTTCTGCCCTTTGACTGTCAGCATGCTGCATATCTAGCTCGGGTTATTGTCAGGAAAACAAACCTGTTCGGGGGTGAACAAGGAATTGAGCTGAAACACTGGGTTTGATTTAAAAATATGTATGTATATACTGGGATATTGTAGAAAAGGCAACTGAACTCACAGGCTTGAGAACAAGCCCCTGCTAGAGCATGTCATCTGTTGGCATTACTAGAGGAGCTCGTACATACTTGTATGTATTTCTTGGATCTGTGATCTTCAGAATGAGCATAGGAGGGTTTGAGACATGCGTAGGAACTTGGGGTGTTTTGGAGGCTGAGATGAGTGTTAGGGTCAATAAGTTTTGTTCTTCCAGGACCCAGTGTTGTCTGTTTGTTCTTGTGTTAGGCAGGTATGCTGCAAATTTGTGATATTAAAGCTCTCATGATGGGACTGTGCTGAAATCCCATTTCCTTTGCAAGTGTGTTAGCCACTGAAGCTGTCTTGTAGTTAGTTGTCATCTCACCACATGCTAAAACGATCCCTTTTCTTAGCGCATCAGTAGGCTCTTTGCTATGGAAATCTCATGCAACAGTTTTGTGGCAGCTTTTTCAATGTCATGATGATACTACTTGTGCAAATAGCGCTGTGTCTCAGGCCATGGATGTTGAACTGCCTTGTCACCCTTCAGGTAGTTTTGGGGTGAGCAGAGCAGTCTGGGGGAGCTTGCAGTGCTGCAGCAAGAGTGCAGCTAACCTGCGTAATAGTTTTCTGGCTTATAAATCAACGTGTTCATGACTGCAACTGCTATTATCAAAGAGAAAAAAAGAGATGACTGCGCTGTTTCTTCCTATTTGTTCTCTAACAGCCCAAATGCTGCCAGCAGCCGGGATGGCCTGGACAACGAAACAGGAACAGAGTCAGTTATTAGCCACCGGCGAGACAGACATCGGCGGAGAAATAGAGAAGGGCACGAGGATGGTGAGTCCTATTTAATTTTTCCCCTTTCTCATTTAGAAAGAACAATTTTTCTGATAATCTTTCAGAGCAACAACTACTTTTGTATGAATATGGCAGAAGAGAAGTGTGTCTGCGTTCCTGTGTGCTTTCAGGGACTATTATTATTTTAATGGAATAATTTGATGATTGCTTTGAAACTCTTTGAAGCTCAGCATTTTCTAAGAGGTCTGGACAACCTACAGTAAAGTGGCAGGGAGAGTCTTTGACGATATACAGAACTTTCTGTAGTATTAGAAGATGATCAGTTTGGAGAGGAATAACAACACCCAATGCCGAGCTCCGTGCTGTCATGGCTAGGCTGCCTCCATTATTCAAGTTTGCTCATTTAAAGGTAGAACACATTATCTGTATGAAGTGTTGGGAGTTTGCAGTGTAGACAGTTTGAGAGTCTTGGTATTTTAACATTGCAAGATCTGAGCCAAAATCCTCTGCAATAATTTCTATTGATTTCTCTAGGCTTGGCTCAGCGGTAGTGTTTTATACTGGTATAACTACAGCGCATTGGCTCCGAAGATCTTTTTTTTTTATATACATAAATACACCCAAGGTACACATATAAACTACAGAACTTCATCTCTTGCCTGTAGTCTGTACATCAAAGTAAGCTTGTTTTTTCATTTGTTGCCAGACAAGAATTTCCAGGCTTAATTAAGAATAAATAGGTGCCACCCATTGAGTTTTAAATGGTCCAGAATATGGAATACTTGGGCCCAAGAGATGCCATCACAGGCTTTATTCACAGCTCCACCCACTGAAGTATTGGCCTCCAGTTAGAAAACCAGAAGTGGTATATATACTGTGGGTTAGAAGCAGGTGTCTTTCTGTTCATTTAACCCTTCCAGCTTGTAACTGACTCAGAGTGAATGAAAATGACTCGGTGGGTGGAGCAGAGAGCTGCTGTTGCATGACCCTGACTGCAGATTCCTTTGGGAAATCCCAGAAAGAGATGTGAGTCACAGAATCTTCTAACAGTGTTGTGTTAAAAACTTGTCACAGGAAGGATGTTAAAAGGTGATTTATTTTTAGCATGAATTTAAACTAATGCCACTGCATGTTATGCCATGGACATTCGTGGCCAAAGAGCTGGTTGTTGAATGGCTGGTCTAGGCCCATAGTCTAGATTGCTCGTGTGGTGTTCGAGCACAGGAGTCTCTGCCTTCTGATATATCTGAAACTAGTTCATACTTTTCCCTTTAGATAGAAACGGGATAAAATTTCCTCCTCCTCCTGTCAGCCTGAGCTGTGCTCAGGCAAGAACATGTCACTCAGTCATGCAAACATTACCTGTTCCCAAAACAATGTAGGCCTCCTACCTGAAGCAGGCTGTACGTATGAGCAAGAGGTGAGTTTTGTTGACGTGCATAAAGCAAGGACAACTGCTGTATCATTTTGGTCTCATGAAATACACTGTTTAATGTCCATAGTGTTTCTATGGTCATAATAATATTTTATTTAAAAAAACCAAAACCACCAGTGTGTTATTTTCAGTGGAAAGCATGTCTCCGAAATACACAGTTCAGCACTATATCCTGAACTGCCACTTAAAAAGATTAAAAGTGGTGAAATACTCTTATCCTGGAGGGTTTCAAGGCCTCCTCATAACAACGGTCCTACATTAGCAGAGTCATTCTTGTCTTGAGTCCTCATATCTTCTTGTCTGGATGTAAAATGGGGAAACAGTCATGGGAAGAGGGGGACAGGGGCGGAGGAAGGGCAGCAAGGTTGTGACACTGGGTTCACAGCTATTTCAAGGGCAGACGCTATGTGCTCACTTGTCATTATGAAATAGTGGTAAATCCTCCTTTCCCTGCAGAAAGAAGGAAATGCAGTTAGAGTGTTTGATCTTGTCCTGTAGAGACTTGTTTAAATAATACCAAAATTACAGCTCTAGTAGTTCGCAGAGAGGCAGGATGAGGGATCTTCATTGGAGAACTGCATTACTCACAGGGTTGTTCCATAGGTGTTATTATGCAGAGTAGCCAAGACATGCGTACAGTCCTGCCAGCTCACCAAGCTGTACAATAAAATGTACCACGCAGTGTTTCTAACTGTTTGAGTTCGTCATTGGTATAAAGTGAATGACAAAGAACTGTCCACCCTGACAATGAGGATATCCCTGGATGCTCTACAAAGGGAAAGAAGTACTTGCTCCACAAGAAAAAATGAACAGTGTATTACAGCCTTCATTTCAAACAAGGTGAAGTGAGAAAAGGTGCTAATGAGCCATTTGGGGAGTGCATAGATTGTAGGCAGGTTGAGCTAAAACTTGTACAGGTCAAGCACGCTTACTCCACTGATCCCCGATCACTGTGGAATTGAGAGGCTCAACAGAATGAGGTTCTCGTTCCGACTTGGGAAAACCCCAGGGCAGGGAAGAGAAGGGAAGCAAAACAGAGATCTTTTGGGAATGTGGGTAAAATGAAAATATGCCAAAATAAATGGAAGTAGAAAAGCAGAATTCTAACTGTGAGCTGTGCAGAAAAATCTCTCTCCTGTCAGCCTGGTATTTAGGGACCACTGCTGTTTTCAGAGCATGACAGAAGCTTCTTTTTAAGTTAGCCACTAGTTTTCACTTAAATGCCCTCCAGCCCCCCACTTCACAGCTCCATCTCATGAGTAGATGAGAATTTCATCTTAATCTCCCAAATGGATTTAAATTTTATCTTTTAGAAAGATTAAAATAATACCCAGTAATGAGCTACGTAGGTACCATTAGCTGTAGGCTGCCTTTTATTCCTTCTCATTAAGGGTTAGACCCACGAGCCTGTCCTTGCTGCCCAGTCATTCTACATAGCAGTGGAGTCCTTAAAGCATCATATTCCCTGTCTTTCTTAAGCCACAGATTTTAATTGATAAAAAGTCCAGTTTAATGCTCAAATAATAAAAAAAAAAAGGTCTTGCACAGACCAGTTATTGGGAGTAAGGGTGTGAAAAAGGGGTGAGAATGAGTTGGCAGGCAGCTGAAGGGTTAAGCGTTTTGGTGTGTCTGTGCATGAGGACGGTGTAGGAATTAAAAAATGTTTATAGCCGACTTGTTTCCTCTTTGTTTTGCAGTGACAGCTATTCTTCACCAAAATGCTCGCAGGGCAAAGTATTATATGGCGAGCTCAGAATAGACAGACGCTTTGCCCTGAAAAGCTAATAGTGGAAATACCTGAGAAAAAAGCTGGCAGGGAAAACAGGCATGGGGAAAAGGGAGTTTTTCTCTCTAGCTGCTGTTGATATTAGAAGAAAAAAAAAAAAGTAATAGAACTCTTCAAAGAGTTAAAACAGTTTCTTTGTCATTTCTGTCCTACTCTCCATTTTAGTGTGCACAAATTGTTTCCTAATTGTACAAGTGAAATTTTAGAGTGAGAAATTTCACAATAGATTTTCAGAGTTGGAAATTATAATTTATGATCATGCAGTCGACGCAACGGACTGCAAAACTGTCGGATAGTTCAGCCTGACAGCCTGTCCGTGAACTGCAACGAGTTTCTTACGGAGGCCTCCAGTTTTGATTTGAAGAGTCTAGGTGGTGGTCAACTAACCCGATTTTCTGATGGCTGATAATTAAAAGCGTGGCATCACGGGCGGATTGTTCGCAAATGCCAGCCTGTGTGCTTTACTTCATTGTTGCGGGATTACCCATCATAGAAACGCCGTTTCTGCTGAGTTGCTAATGGGCCATTATAGACATACATCAGAGGCCATTATAAATACCGAGGGCATACTGCAGCCAGAAGATGCGGGACACACCCGGTCATCTGACAAAGTTTTCACACCTCTTTCCATTGAAAATGCAGCAGGATTTTGCAGCAGAGAGGCTGTGATTTACTAGGCCAGGGAGTCACTTTGGTAACAACACAGGCTAGGGCATTTGCAAGCTCTTCCACCCATTTCCCTTGAATTACGCTGCTATTTTAAGTGCGGAGGCAATGAATAGCCGGGGATGCTCCTGTGCTTGTATCTTCTCTGATTTCAAAACTGTACCCGCAAAGAGAATGTGATGGGCTGAGGAATGAAACCCCTTCGTTCATCAGTGTGCATTTGAAGGTGTGTGATGTTTCAGATAGAAGCGCTAAGAAAATCATAAGGGAAACTGATCTGAAGAAGTGCATTTTTACTTTTCTTGGTGAAATGTCTGCCAGAGATAGGGAGAAAAATGAGAAGGCATGTAGTTTCAAAAGAATTATCACCCTGCATCTTACTATACTTAAGAGAGAGGAGGAACTTTGTTACTGGTTTTAATCTGTCCTATGCCAAGTCTAGAAGCCTTTCTCTGGTAGCACTGTACAGCTGATGACAGCAGGGAACAGAAATGACTCAGCTGGACAAATTCTGCCTAGCACGAGTTTTCCTTTTCAGCGGAGAATGGGAGGAAGGCTAGCCAGAGGGGCAGTTGTCAAGGCCTCCGTAATTTCCTTCCTTGCCTGCTGTAGATGTCCAAACACACAACGTCAGCAGAGCCTGCTCCCAGCCTCATCAGCCATGGAAAGCTCTTGGTTCTCTTGTTGGCCCTTTCATTGCTTAAGCACCCGATTAACTTCCAGGAAGTATGCCTAAATCCAAGTCATTTTGGTCAACGTCAATTATGTAGTTAAAGTATGTACTCAAATTCTGTGTCGAACTGAATGCCTAATGGGTGCTAGGGGAAGGTGCTTTCTGGGCCTGATTCACAGCTGTGTGAGGTCGAGGGAAAGCTTTACACTTCTGTCACTCCTCTGCTGGAGCTTTGGTTATTTGTGCACCAGCCTGTTACCTGTAGCAAGAGCACTTGTTTATAGGGCCTCCGACTTTTCATCTTACTGTGTTCCTTTTCAGTAATTTTTAGTAGACCACTCTCAGCTAATCGGAACCGGAGCGGGGTGTCATGTTGTATATGCAAAGCACACACTAATTCTCCTCCACAGATGCTCAGTGGAGCTGGGGAGACAATGAAGGATCAACAAGCAGAGATGGAACTTTTTCCAGGAATTGCC